GACCACCACAGTCACCACCACCATGTGCCTGACCACCACAGCCGCCACCACCATGTGCCTGACCACCACAGTCACCACCACCATGTGCCTGACCATCACAGTCACCACCACCATGTGCCTGACCACCAGAGCCACCACCACCATGTACCTGACCATCACAGCCACCACCACCATGTGCCTGACCACCACAGCCACCACCACCACCACTGTGTGCCTGACCACCACAGCCACCACCACCGTGTGCCTGACCACCACAGTCACTACCACCATGTGCCTGACCATCACGGTCACCACCACCATGTGCCTGACCACCAGAGCCACCACCACCATGTACCTGACCATCACAGCCATCACCACCGTGTGCCTGACCATCACAGTCACCACCACCACCACTGTGTGCCTGACCACCACAGCCATCACCACCACTACTGTGTGCCTGACCACCAGTCACCACCACCGTGTGCCTGACCACCACAGCCACCACCACCACCGTGTGCCTGACCACCACAGCCACCACCACCATGTGCCTGACCACCACAGCCACCACCACCATGTGCCTGACCACCACAGCCAATCACCACCATGTGCCTGACCACCACAGCCACCACCACTACCACCATGTGCCTGACCACCACAGCCACCACCACCATGTGCCTGACCACCACAGCCACCACCACCACCATGTGCCTGACCACCACAGCCATCACCACCGTGTGCCTGACCACCACAGCCACCACCACCACCGTGTGCCTGACCACCACAGCCACCACCACCACCGTGTGCCTGACCAGCACAGCCACCATCACCACCACCGTGTGCCTGACCACTACAGTCACCACCACCACTGTGTGCCTGACCACCACAGCCACCACCACCATGTGCCTGACCACCAGTCACCACCACCATGTCCCTGACCACCACAGTCACCACCACCACCGTGTGCCTGACCACCACAGTCACCACCACCACCACTGTGTGCCTGACCACCACAGTCACCACCACCACCACCATGTGCCTGACCACTACAGTCACCACCACCACTGTGTGCCTGACCACCACAGCCATCACCACCACCATGTGCCTGACCACCACAGCCATCACCACCACTACTGTGTGCCTGACCACCAGTCACCACCACCATGTGCCTGACCACCACAGCTCCACTTGCTGGACTTCCCTGGAATCTGGAATGGGGGCAGTGAGCTCACTGTCCTCTCCTTTTTCGCCCCCTTCCCCTCTCCCCCACTTCCCTCCCTCTCCCTGTGTCTCCCACTTTATCCCCAGCTAGTCTGCTAAGTAAACAACCAGGGCTAGGAGCAATCTGGGTTCCTGGGACAGAATAGATGCAGCAAACCAGCAAGAGCTGCAGATGTGTGCCTAGGCTCACACTGCCAGGGAAAGCAGGCAGCCGGCCCTGCTGCTGCACGCAGCTCCTCGGACGGTAGTGCAGCCTGGCCGGCGTTTATCCAGCCCCACTTGGGCCAGTGGAGTGCTCCCTCCCAGGTAGATGCTGACGCTGAGCCAGTGCCTTCCCACCCACCTGCCCAGGCAGAGAGCCAAGGGCCCTGGGAAGGCCTGGCTGGCTTCCTGTCCTACCTCCAACTCAGACTTGGCTCTTTCCCCATTTCCACCCCCCCTTCCTGAATTCCTCACACCAAAGCACACCTGGCCTTCCCAGGTCCAGCTGAGCCCCATTTGGGGCTAGAAGTCCACCCTGACCTCAGAGGGGAGCCAAGAGGGAAGGCTTGGAGGTCTGGGGTCATAGGTCACCCTGTAGGGACATTGCCTGGCTAAAATTTAAATTCCAGAACTGCTAAGTAAATCCCTTAAAACATGAATTAGAATTTGGTTGTTAGATAATGACAAGGACACAAGAACAAAGAGCCAAGTAAAATTCCTAGAGAAACTACTTTTTCACCCTTTGCACAACTACTTAAAGATAACTTTATCATTTATAAAAAGAAATTACGAGCATCAGCAATGGAGGGACAGCACGTGGGAGGACCAGGCTGGAGAACAAACAAAGGTGTGATGCATTTGCTAACGCTTTGGCCCGGGAAGGATAGTGAAAACAGCTGGCGGGGAATCGGTTGTATGCGCCTGAGCCCCAGCACGTGCTGGCCCAGCTGGGAGAGTTGTGAGTTCAAGACCAGCTTGAGCTACATAGACTGTGTCTCGGAAATGCACAGGCTCAGGTGTTCTTCCATTTGATGGGTTGTCTCTTGATTCTGTAAATTGGTACCTTTGATGTGCAGCTGCTTTTAATTTTGAATACAATCCCATCTGCCCATAAAAGCATATTCTCTGGGCAGTTGGTGTCTTACCAGAAAATAATTGCCTATGCCTATGTCTTCAGTGCTTGCCCTGTGTTTTCCTGCAGTTTTCACAGTTTCAGGTCTCCTATTAAGCTCTTTGCTCCATTAGAGTTGATGTTTTTTCCCCTTCGGGAGCAGTCGCAAATGCGCAAATGCCCCGTGAGCCCTGCTGCCCGGGGACTTCTAGGGGCTGAGGTGGCCTGGGTTGGTCCAGGGCGTCCAGTCCCACAGGGAGGCGTGGGCTGGAGCGTCTCTGTCCAGGGTGCGTTGTCTTGTGCTGTCAAAGGCTGATTAGCCAGGGCACAGCTCTGCCAGCCTCCGCCCTCCATTCAGCCTCACTCTGGCCAGCCCACGGCTCCACAGCTCCGTCCCAGGGTGCTGGCCCTGCCCTGTGCCTGTCCTCGGAGCACGCAGTGAGCCCGGCTGGTCCTGCCCTGCCCCGTGCTTGTCTGGAGAGCACACAGTAGGTGCGGCCCTGGGGGAAGTGGAGGGTCGCTCTTCAGCCCTCTCCACGAGCTTGCTTGATGAAGCTCTTGCCTCCTCCCATTTTCCTGAGATGAACAGTGAATTCCCGGCTTCTCATTAAAGCACACACGATGAGCGTACTACCGAGAGAAGTTCTGACCCGCCTCTGAACAGGAACGCCATGGCTTCCCAGAAAAGGTTTCCTTCCGGGCGAGTCCAGGAGGAGCCTGGCTCCGGCCCCTCCCACCGCCACGCTCTGGCAGCAGAGGCAGCAGGTAAGGGGCTGGGGTGTGCTCAGGAGAGAGGACGGGTGAGCGGGCTGGGGGACCGGCACAGGCGCCTGGCTCCTCGGCCGTGCTCCACGCAAGGGCAGGATGGGGTCACGGGCTGGCAGGCGGGCCGTGGGGGACTTGGGGCCGAGGCTGGCGGGGCGGGGCTGGTCCACACCCTTGCACGCACACTTGTGCACTCCAGCACAAGCACTTACGGACATCCTTGAGTTTTTGTGCTCAACGCTAGTGCTCTACCACTTGAACTACAGCTCCATCCCCACCTTTTTAGTGGCTAATTGAGATAAGAGTCTCACAGCATCCTGCCATGGCTGTCTGAGCAGTGATCCTCAGATCTCAGCCTTCTGAATAGCCAGGATTAGAGAAGTAACTGTTTAAAGCTCTTGGAAGACACTACCTGAAGCAAAATTAATTCCTGCTCAGCACAGTGTGTGCAATAGAGTATCTAGAGCAATGGGATTCCGGTGGGTGCGGTACTCACTGTGACAGCACTTCTGTAAACCTAAAGTGGCTCAAAATAAAAAAAAAAAAAAACTAGGTCCTACAGCAGATGAATGGATCAGAAGAAAAATGTGCCTATGGGCTGGGAAGGTGGCTCAGCGGTAGAGCTCTTGCCTAGCATGCATGAGGCCCTGGGTTCCATTCCTCAGCACCACATACACAGAAAAAGCCAGGAGTGGCTCTGTGGCTCCAGTGGTAGAGTGCTAGCCTTGAGAAAAAGAAGCTCAGGGACAGCGCCCAGGCCCTGAGTTCAAGCCCCAGGACTGGCCAAAAAAAAATGTGGTACCTATATACAATGGAATTTTGCTCATCCGTTAGAAAAAATAAGATTGTCATTGGCAGGGAAATGGATGGACCTAGAACAAATCATGCTAAGTGAGGCGAGCCAGAGAGACAGCACGAGTTTTCTCTCATATGCAGTGCTAGACCTAAATACTCAGGACGAGATCAATCATACAGGACTGCCGGCACCCGCCCCAGCAGGACGCAAAGGTGTGACTCCGCTGAGTACTTAAAATACTGCCTATCTACATGAACTCCAGGAAATGGAAACTTTGTTGTTGTTGGCTGTGGTGGTTATGCTTTGGGTTTTTTCTTCTTTTGGGGGGCATAAAGAGTGGAGAGGGAGAGAGGGAGGGAGGAAGGTGAACAAATGGAATCATGCTGCTCAGGAGACACTCCGTGTAAATGACTGTGTAACCTGTGGGCAAAGTTAGGAGGGGAAAACAGGAAAATGAAGGAAGCGGAGACATCGTCCAGAAAGAAATGTACTCATTACCAGACTATGCACCCTAATAGTGACAATAAAATTACATTTAAACGTAAGCAAGGAACAAAAGAAAAGGAACAGTGTCCTCCGGCACATCCTGGCCTGACTGCAGCCCCTGGCAGAGGCCACGTGGGGCAGGCACGGCTCGGTGCGGGGCTAAGACGATCCTCTCTGCCCTCCCTGGCCGCAGAGGCACGGCTCGGTGCGGGGCTAGGACGGTCCTCTCTGCCCTCCCTGGCCGCAGAGGCACGGCTCGGTGCGGGGCTAGGACGGTCCTCTCTGCCCTCCCTGGCCGCAGAGGCACGGCTCAGTGCGGGGCTAGGACGGTCCTCTCTGCCCTCCCTGGCCGCAGAGGCACGGCTCGGTGCGGGGCTAGGACGGTCCTCTCTGCCCTCCCTGGCCGCAGAGGCATGGCTCGGTGCGGGGCTAGGATGGTCCTCTCTGCCCTCCCTGGCTGCCCTGCGGCCATACTAGAAAGAGCGGCTCACACAGGAAGCTCAGGGACAGGAAGAGGGCTGGGGCTCTGGAGGCCGGGCAGCCTGGCCAGGGCGGGTCAGGAGGACCTGTTCTCAGGGCTGCCCATCCCGCAGGCTCTGGGCTCCCCCTGCCCCACAGCAGCCCCGAGGCCTCCAGCTCCTGCCCCTCCTCCTGCAGCGAGTCTCGGGCACGGAGTCAGGACCGGGGACCCCGCTGGCCATGGCCCCCTACCCCGTGCCATGCCCTGGGCCTGTGTCCGGCTTGCTCAGCGTCCTCCTGCTTCTGGCCACCTCCTTCAGTGCTGCTCATGAAAGTATGTCCTTGAGAGCCGCCATCTGCTGGGGACAGGGAGGACCTGGAGAGGGCGGGAAGGACAGCCCAGAGGGGCCCAGGCCCCGGAGAGGGCGGGAAGGACAGCCCAGAGGGGCCCAGGCCCCGGAGAGGGCGGAGTGGAAGCGCTCTGTTCTCAGCCTGTGCCCAGCAGATGCAGGACCTCCCTGCCCCCACGCCGTCCTCCACACACTGCCCAGGGCCCATTCAGAGCCCTGGCCCACGGGACAGCCACGTCCCAAGGCCCTGCCTACGTGTGTCCCCCCAGGCTGGGACGACCCCGTGTGCACCGAGGGCGTGGTCTCCGTGTCCAGGGGTCAGCGTGCCGTGATGACCTGCAACATCTCCAACCCCTTCACCCGCATCGCCGTCAGCCTGAGCGCCCCCGGGGCCGACGGGACCCTCTTCCGCGTGGAGCCCTCCGCAGGCTGCTCCCGCGTCTCCCGGGACGGCTGGCAGCTCCTGGTCCAGGGGGGCCGGGCCCAGCTGGTGGAGGAGTCCGCGCAGGACCGCCACGCCGGGCTGTACTCCTGGCGTCTGCGTGGACACCAGCTGAACCACAGGAGCGTGTCCCTGAACGTGTCGGGTGAGTGAGGGCTTGCTGGGGTCCGCAGGGAGGAGGGGAGAGGAGGCAGGGGACCCGCACCTGAGGACGCCTGGCCACGGTGCCAGCATGCACGGCCGGGAGCTCCTGCTGCCCTGAAGCTCCCCCCACCCGCACGCCCCTCCGGTCCTCCACAGGCCCTCTGCTGCCCCCCCCCCCCCGTAACTCCACGTCCCGGGGCGGGGAGGGGGGGAGCGCCCTGCAGAGAACGGGTCGCCCGCACTCCCATGCCCCGTCCTGAGGCCGCACCTGCCCCCCGTGCGATGGTGTCTCCGCAGAGCCGGAGCCTGGCCCCGCAGCCCCCACTCTGGACCCTCCCGCAGGCTCGGGGACCACGTGCGTGGGCCCAGAAACCCAGCCCTAGCTCTCTGTTCTCTGCGTGATCCTGGTGCTGGACAGTCTGGACGAGAACTGGCGCACATGGGGCTGGACCAGGTATGACCCCAGGGCCTGGTGCGGGGCCCCTGGCCCGTGCCTGGCGGCTGCCCGCAATCCCCCAAAGTCCTGCTCCGTCAGTGAGAGGAGGGGGGCAGGAGCACCCCGAGAGCAGGGTCCCCCCAGAACCCAAGCCCCCTCTGACTGACAGCACAGCCACAGCTCTGTCCCAGGTCCCCGCTTCCCACCCAGGGCACCACAGAGGGCAGCAAGGCCTCCAGGGTTTCAGACCCTGCCCTGAGCCCTGGGCACCAGCTTGGGGACAGATGTGGTGGCTTCTGACCCAGAGCCTCTGCCTGCGGGGGCCCTGGGAGGGGGCCCTGTCCCCAGGGGGAGCAGGCCCCGTCCTGAGGCACTCAGAACCCGGCTGGGCTGGGGCATCCATGTGTGGCTGAATCCACCCTCCTGGTGTGACCTGAGTGTGGAGCTCAGAGCTGGGGCTGGCTCTGTGTCCGGTCTGCACGTGTGCAATGGGAACTTTCTCTCCTTCCTCCTCCCTAGATGAAGAGGGCTGGCTCTTAGAGCCAGAAGGAACGGAGCCTGGCCCAGCGTGGGTCCCACAGCCCCGGCCCGGGACGGGTCCCGCCTGCAGGCCCTCAGCAAGGGGCACGCTGGGGGGCCTCCCCCCCTCTGCTGGGTCCCTGAGGCACACAGAGTCCTGACCTCCTCCCTGGCAGAGCTGCTGCCCTCGGGGCTTGCTCACGTTTGCTGGGCACTGAGTCCGGGCTTGCCCTTCCCCCCGGCAAGGTCTCAGTGCACGCCAGGAGACGTGGAGCTGCCTGCACACGCGCATGTGTGTGCGCGCGTGTGTAACTAACCTTGTTATCATCAAGGTGATGTACAGAGGAATCACAAATTACATTAGGTAGTGAGTACATTTCATTCTGTTCAGTGTCTTGTTCCATTCTCTCCCTGCCCCTCCCATCTCTGCCCACACATGGTACCGTTCACATTCATCAAGGTCCAGTGAGCTCCACCACTTTTTGTTACCTTTTCCCTTGAGTTCTGTGCTCTTCCCTGACCCTCCTGAAAATATGCATGCGACTACAACACACATAAGTTAAAATAGACACGCAAATACACCACACATAAGTTAAAGGAGAATAAAATAAAAATCTTTTGTTTCTGTACGCAGAGTTCACTTCAGCATGTATACTGTTCTATATAACTGTGAGGAGGCACTTGGCATTGTACCTTCGTGTCTCTCTCCTAAGAGCATCCTCTTTTGGTCTCGCTCTGTGAGTATAACTTACCGCATCCCAGTACATTGCCGTTCCTCTCTGAGCTTGGCTTACCTCACTTAGCGTGATTCATTCTGGTTCCATTTCCCTTCAGATGACATCATTCTTTCTAATGGCTGTGCAAAATCCCCTGAGCATGGTGCCATTCATCTGTGCTGTCGCCGTAACTGGCTGTTGTGAGTAGTGTGGCAGTGGGTGTCCTATCCTGGCTCATGATGCTCAGGGTCCGTGCCCCGGGCGCCCTGGCTGGCCCTGGGGAGGGTCTCAGGGTCCGTGCCCGGGGCGCCCTGGCTGGCTCTGGGGAGGGTCTCAGGGTCCGTGCCCGGGGCACCCTGGCTGACCCTGGGGAGGGTCTCAGGGTCCGTGCCCCGGGGCACCCTGGCTGGCTCTGGGGAGGGTCTCAGGGTCCGTGCCCGGGGCGCCCTGGGGAGGGTCTCAGGGTCCGTGCCCCGGGGCACCCTGGCTGGCTCTGGGGGGTCTCAGGGTCCGTGCCCGGGGCGCCCTGGCTGGCTCTGGGGAGGGTCTCAGGGTCCGTGCCCGGGGCGCCCTGGCTGACCCTGGGGAGGGTCTGAGGAACCTCCAGACTGCTTTCCTGAGTGGATGTGCTGGTCCACATTCCCACCAGGCTTCCTTTTCCCCACATCCCCACCGGCATTTGTTGTTCAAATTCACAAAGTTGGCCAGTCTTACAGGGGTGAGATGGAACCTCAGAGTCATTTTGGTTTGTGTTTCCTTCATGGCTGGGGATGATGAGCATTTCCTCGTGTGTTTCCTTTCCATTCTTATGTCTTCTTCTGAGAAGTCTGTCCTTAGCCCCCTTGCCCACTTGATTGGTGTATTAGGTTTGGGAGGGGTTAGTTTCTTGAGCTCCTCGTATATATGGGATATTAGGCCTTTGTCTGATGTATGGCTGGTAAAGATCTTCCAGTCTGTTGGCTGGCTTTCTAGTTTAGTAACTGTCCCTAGCTGTGCAGAAACTTTTTATTTTGATGTAGTCCCACTTGTCAAGTCTGTCTTCTGGACTCGATTCAAGAAGTATCTACCTGTACTTTTAAGTTCTAATGTTTCTCCTGTTCTCTCTTTCAGTAGTTTCAAAGTTTCAGGTCTGGCATTGAGATCTTGGATCCGCTTTGAGCTGATATTAGTATATGTTGACAAACAGGGATCCACTTCTAGTTTTCTGCATATGGATGTCCAGTTTTCCCAACACCGATTGTTGAAGAGGCTATGTTTTTTCCACTATGTCTTTGGGTCCCTTATCAAATATCAGATAACTGTAAGTGTATGGTTTTATTTCTAGGTCTTCTAATGTATTCCACTGATCTTGGGGTCTATTTCTGTGCCAATACTGGTATTATAATACTGCCTGCATTGCCTTTTTTTTTGCCTAGAATTGCTTTAGCTATTCTAGGTCTTTTGTTATCCATATGAATATTTAGATTGTTTTGTTTATCTTGGTAAAGAACATCATTGGGACTTAGATAGGGATTGCATTGAATTTGTATATCATTTTTGCAGTATGGCCATTTTCTCAATATTGATTCTACCTATCCATGGACATGGAAGGTCTTTCCATTTCCTAATGTCCTCTTGGATTTCTTTCCTCAGATTTTTATAGTTTTCACTATAAAGATCTTTTACATCTTTGGTTAGATTAATTCTTAGCTGTTTTTTTTTTTTTGAGGCTATTGCAAATGGAGTTGTTTTCATGATTTCCCTTTCTGCTTGTACAGGGTTGGCATACAGAAAGGCTACTAATTTTTGTGGGTTAATTTTATATCTTGATACTTTGCTAACATGGTTGTTCAGCTGTAGGAACTTGGAAATGGGAGTTTTTTGGATCCTTTAGGTGTAAGATCATGTCATCTGCAAATAGGGATAATTTGATTTCTTCTTTCTCTATGTGATTCCTTTTTATGTCATTTTCTTGCCTTACTGCTCTTGCTGGGAATTCCAGAACTATACTGAAGAGGAATGGAGAGTGGACATCTTGCCTTGTTCCTGATTTTAGGGAAAACGGTTTTAGTTTTTCCCCATTCAGTGGTGGCTGTTGGTCTGTCATAGATAGCCTTTATTATTTTAAGGGACGTTCCTTTATTTTTGTTGGTCGTAGGGCTTGAATGCTGGGCCTGGGCGCTGTCCCTCAGCTCTTCAGCTCAAGGCTAGCACTCTACCACTTGAGTCACAGCACCACTTCCAGTTTTCTGGTGGTTATTTGAAGATCAGAGTCTTACAGACCTTTCTTGCTCAGGCTGGCTTTGAACCCTGATCCTCAGATCTCAAGTCTACTGAGTATGAGATTACAGACGTGAGCCACCAATGCCTGGTGGGATGATCCTAACTTTTCCAAACCTTTTTAGCATGAATGGATGTTATATTTTGTTGAAGCCTTTTTCTGCATCTATTGAGATGATCACATAGTTCTTATCGTTGGCTTTGTTGATATGGGGAATTGCATTTATTGATTTGTGTATGTTAAACCAGCCTTGCATCTGTATGATGAAGTCTCCTTAGTCATAGTGTAAGATTTATTTTATTTGTTTCTGTTGGCTAGTATTTTATTGGCTTTGCATTTGCATTCATCAGAGAAATTGGACTGTAGTTCTCCTTTTCTTTTTTTTTATTGTGAAAATACTGTACAGAGGGGTTACAATTACATGAGCAAGGTAATGAGTACATTTCTTATCAAGCATTGTTGCCTCCTCCTTT